ATCAAGAAAAGGGAAGTTTATCGGTTTTATTTCAATAAAGAACACCTTCCTGACAAAGCTTTGGTAGTATTTCTGAAGAGCAAAACTGAGGGAGAATATTTATAGGGTTTCGAGGCCAGAGCTGAGGTAGATCTTACCACGTAGGGACTGGTTGGGGTTGGGCAATTTTTGGCACAGTGGGCTTTGCATTGGTGGGCACTGTAAGGTAAGGTCTTGAAGCAAATATTGTTGAGCAATCTGTTGGTCTTCATAAATAAGCAAGGATTTTCTGGAGTAAGTAGTAAGTTATTGTTGTCTGGCTCCAGCATTGTTTGGCACAAAATAGGAAAATATCATTGACCCATAATTGTTTAACATAGAGGCAGGAAAGTCCATTGGTGTCAGTTCTCAATAACAGCTGTCAAAAGCCTAGAAATGTAATTATTTACAAATTAATAGTGGTTACCTTTGGGTGTAAGGATTACAGGTAGTCTTTAATGTCTTCCTTTTTGCTTCTCTGTATTTTCTCAATTCTCTCTAAAGAACATATATATTCAGGAAGAAAAAGATAGATTTGTTTAATCCTTATGTAGCCAGATAATTCTAAGACTAGAGCCATCCTCATCTCAAAGTTTCTAATCCATTTTTTTGATATAACACCCAATCTAAGCAGAATTTTGTGGCCAACTTGGGAAACTAACTAAATCATTACCTAATCACAACCATGTGATCCAATGAGCACTGGGCAGCTTTTCATCTTTTCAGACAGACAGAAACATGCTGTATGGACTGTTTTAGAACCATCCATGCTTCAGAAGTATATTAGAAACATATTTAACTAACACAAATGCCCGTTTTTCTCCTTGGCTCTCTGTTATCACTCCATTTTCAGAAACAAGGTGCAGTGGGTGCCAGGGACTTTGGGGAAAGGAAGAGTGAGATCTGAGGTGAACCCAGAAATCCAGAATACCGTCTCATGCCCTCTCCAGCCAACCATGATAAATATTTTCGAGCATCTAATATTTGCTGAGTGCTAGCCAAGGTGAGACCTGGCACAGCACTGGATAACCTACATCCATCCCTTAAAGGAGCCGAGTTTTTAATTGGGGAGAGGATGGTGGGGAGTGGCTAACACAGGAACAATTCCAGGTCAATACAAACTGACGTGCAACCAGGCACTGCTCCACAGGAGGGAGAGTACTTGATTCCAAGCTGGTCTCTGTCACCATGTCTGTATTATGTACCTTGTGCAGTTTAGACTCCAAGTCCTATATAAACTCGGAAATAAGATGATTTGGGGCATTGAGCTATTCTAGCTAAAGAAGGGTTAAACTCAAACTTTAAAAATAACATCCATACCTTTCATTTAAAATCTTCCCAAAATTTGAGTCTGCTTTATTTTCTACATAAATAATTGCAATTTAACAAACTTAACTGCAGGGCCCCACAGTCATTTTCATTGCCTATAGCTGTGGATTTCACTGGACGTAGACTAGAAAGATAAGGGGCTGCTATGGGTGTGAACTGACTCCAAGGTAGCCTGAAATTTACTGTAAAAGAGAAAAGTCCCCCAATTCTTAATGTTCATGTATTTCCTGGTGATCACCTTTTTTCTATTAAAGACCAGAGTGAGACCTTCCAACAGAATGAATTCCAATTGGTTGAAATGCCATTTCACTCTAAATAATCCTTTATGAACAATAACTACTCTTCATCAGGAATCTCATCATCTCATTGGCAAGGGACCTCAATAACTGCCTTGGGGAAACGGAGGCCCAGAAAGGGGCCTATTCAAGGTCACATAGAAGTTTAATGATGGACACATGGTTGGAATTCTGACCTCTTTGTTTTCTTCAATCCTGAGCTTCCTACCTCTCCAGTCTGATACCCCATGCCTTTTCCCGCAAGGTAAAACTTACTGGAACTCTGAGGACTTCAGCTACTAGACAGAAAAATAAAAGAGACACTTGGGGGGAAAGGGGTGTGGGGGGTGCGGGAAGAGACTGGAAAAAAATAGTACACCTATGGATGAGGACAGTGGGAGGGGGGGTAAGGGCAGAGGGTGGGGTGGGAACCGGGTGGAGGGGAACTATGGTGGGGGGGAACAACTGTAATAATCTGAACAATAAAGATTTAATTTTTTAAAAAAAGAGAGACACAGCTCACAACACCTTTGAGTATAATGAGATACTCTCACTTCCAAGTTCACTTTCTGGAAGCTTCTCTGGAACAGGACTCAGTTCTCAATGCAAGGCATGGTCATTGCCACTCGTATGCCATAGGTTTCATCATAGTACAGACACAGAGAGATGCCGTCTCCCGTGCGGCCTGCCTGGGTCAGCCTGTAGAGCAAACCCTCTGCATTCAAACAGTGGAAACATGGACTCTTCCTGAGTGAGCAATATGATCACCTCATAAGTTAATAACAACAACAAACTTAGCTAATATGCCACTTAGGATGCCTTCGGCCATTCATAACAATAATAATAATAATAAACTAAACAAAACCACTCTCAAACAACCTGGACTCTATTACAGAACCGGAAATACAGAATTAGAACCGGTTTCGGAGTCTGCTGATGCAGCAGCTCAGTGGTCCCATCCATGACCCCGGCTCTCCATTCTTGCTGCCATTTGCAGGTATTGCCTTACCCCAAGGCTTGCCTATCATGGTCTCCAGAGGGCCAGCAGTTGCAGGCCTCCCACAGGATTGACTTAAGGAGTCACTTTCTTTCTTTAAATATATTTATATTGATTTATTGATTTCAGAGAGGAAGGGAGAGGAGAGACAGAAACACCAATGATCAGAATCATTGATTGGCTGCTCCTGCATGCCCCCTACTGGAGATGGAGCCCACAACCCAGGCAAGTGACCTGACCAAGAGTCAAACAGTGATCTTCTAATTCAAGCACGTCAAACTCGTGACCCGCAGGCCACATGCAGCCCACAACAAATATTTTTGCGGCCCAGCCAATATAATGGTATGTAAGAAATGTTTTAATAAAAATTTCTTAACTTAATTTTTACAATATCCTGTTGTACATAA